AATACATCACACTTTTAGTGTTCGTGAATAGCTATTTATCAACAACTAAGGAACTGAGCAGTAAGGAGGACCCTGCAGACTTGACTGAAGGCAGTATCTGATTCCCAAAGCAGATAATCTTACAAGGACCTGTCACTAGCAGTACTAAGTTTTTTCAGCTCTGCTGTCAAAACAGTGCTGTGTCTTTTGAACGAGCGAGTAAAGATTTAGCAATCTTAAACTTTCCATAAATCATTCACTTGCTAAATCTTCACTAGGATGCAACAAACATATTCTAATAAACATGCTACAATTTCCACAGTTGAAATCAGTTTTATTCTGAGACTGTAGTGTCACTGATGATAGAATAAAGGCTTTCTTAGATAATTTCCTATAATGCACAAATAAAGCAGAGATGACTTCACTCTAGGCATGTCCTCACTGGTGAAAACTTAACAGAATTTAACTGTACAGACACCAGCCAGGGCCATCCACCTTGCTGGGGAGAAGTAAATTTTGTTTGCAAGTTTGCAAGTCTGCTCGGTGGATACCTTCAGTCATGTACCTCCTCAGAAGTTCTGTAGCCCCACTGAGGCTTTTTGATCCAGTGGTAGCTTTAAAAAGACTAACCTCAGCCTCACAGAAAATCTCTTTAAGGGAAGAGCGAGATGTAATTCAGTGATTACTGAAGAATAAGCAAGCAACAGGAGTATTACCTCAGCTTACTCAAGTGTCTGAGGTTATAACTGAAGTACTTCTGGATACAGTATTTCTTTCTACCAAACATCTGCCCTAGACTCAAAAGGATCTTCCCTCTGGTATCTTCCCAACTGTTTTACTCAGAGCCCTGTGCAGTAAGAGAAAAAGGCAAAAACCTTAAGAGTAAGCATGTATTGCAGACACCCAGGTCATGACAGCAAACACCACTGAGCTCTGAGGCCCAGCACCTTAAGCTCCGCTCTGTATCAGGTGTGAACACAAACCTGGTTGAGACTCCGAGCTGTGCACAAGTTGCTCTCCAGTCAGGATTTGTACTTCTGTACAGATGCCCAGCACCTAGCATTAATTTAATGGATAGTGATCCACACTACAGAACAGTCAGTCACACTGATTGTTAGAAGGAATAACCACTTTAAATCTCAAGTTACTGAACATACTTCTAATGTACATTTAATACAGACTGAACAAAAAAATTGACCATTACAGTACATGGACTTGCAGACACCCCCTCCTTTGCAGGTAGGCAGGCGTGTGGCAACAGGTACCAAAACCAGCAGCTTTGGGTTATGTCATTTCCAGCTGTGACATCACTTAAGTAAAAATACAAATTCCAGTTCAAGAAGAAGTTTTAACTTAATTTCATTCCAAGTGACATCTAACCACGTAGACATTCAATTCCTTACCAGAAGAGTGATAAAATAAGTACTTCCATAACCAATGAGCCTGTACTGATTTAATTTCTGTTTAAAAATACCAAGAGGAATCAAGGAATAAAAGTCCCTTTTCCTAAATATGCTTAAGCTATCATAATACTGATCACACTGGAGTGTTTTATAATATCAAACTTTATTGCTCAAAACTAATTGTCTGAAAAATACACATGTAGTACTCAAAGACCAAACACATAGGATTATATGATTGTGCAGAAAAAAAAGCAAGCAGAGGCTCAGTGAAAATGAGGCTTTATAGTTGTACCAATTTAGCACTGGCATCAAGCAACTGCACCCAACACAATTCATACAGCAACCATTGTTACCTACTTGGGCAATAAGAATGCATTTTGTTTTGTTTTTTTCACTTTCTCAGATACACATCAGAATACTGTAACTGATACTTTTATTTGGTTAACAACAGCATGGCTTCTTGCACTTCACATTTCTTCCCACGGAAAGTTAGGACGCTCTCACTTCCTGAATTTTACTCTAGAACCACAGTACAGTCTAGAGAATTAATAAGATAATCATGATGCTTTTAAATACTCAGATGTTACAAATATATTTGTATAAAGCCTAACAGCATCACAGGAAAGTGGAAGTTTACATACATCAGTTAAGTTTATGCATAACAGTCTTTCCAAACTTCTGAGTACCCAACTACTTCATCAGTTTTGTTTAATAAATACGTAAGAAAAAGCTGGATGACTGGTGTTTAAATAGGTAGCATCTGACTATTCACTGGAAGTCACAGTAAGTTTTCCATCAGTACCATAAAGATTTGAATGCACACTAATTTAATCCTTAAAGTCGATATACCACACTTTTGTCGAGAAGCACATAATATGCAAAGCAAAAACTGTCTAAGTCCCAAAGGATGGAACAGTTCTTAAAAATACACTCCATCCCTATAAAAATACCCATTCTCCTCTGGATACAGAAGGGATAAATAACAAATATCAGTGACAAAAGCAGCAGTTGTTTTATGCATTCATACAATCAAGATCTAAACCTTTACAGCCGATTACCTAGAAAACACACAAGGGTTACAAGACAAGTTTAGGATACATCTTGAATCACACTGTAAGTGTTCATGCAGAAGCTGAAGTTAATGCAATGATCTATCCTCTATCACAGCAGCTCGTGCTTATGTGCAAATGCAAGACTGTTACACTCCAAACAATAGTAAACATCGAAACACAAGAATACTTCACAATGACATAAACAGCAGTTAAGTTGTTTGTTCCAGCAGTTATTGCGCTATTTTCTGGACATCTCTCCAGTTAAAGGCTGCAGCAAGGTCTAATACCATCTTTTTTTGTTTGTTTTTATTTAGAATGCATAATATACGTTCTAGGCTTTGGTTCACAATGAAATCTCTGGATGTTTTAATTAAGGGCAACGGTCACCTTGTGATTCTGATAGTGGCAGACTGAGGTAATACAGCAATCCTCTTAAAAATAATGAAAACAAATTTGTGAGAGAGGCATCTATGGATATTCTGCAGGTGACCTGCAAATGCATTGACATTCTGATTTGAGAAAAATAAAAAGTTCTACACGGGTGATTTGTCTTTTACAGTGCCATCCAAGTACAGATTTTTCTGCTGAAAACACAGAAGCTGAAGTCAAAGCTACCTAAAAGAGTAATACATTTAGGCATAGAAGATATAAGCCCTGTCTTTATGAAAAGAAAACAACAAAAAAAAAAAAATCCAAAAAAAACCAACTAAAAGAGAGACAAACAGTAATCACTGCTTGTCACTACTGCACCAATATTATATACCCTTCAAAAGATGGAGATTTATTAAAGCTATACAAAAAAAAGCAGAGGCAGTGTTTTTTATTCTTGTTTTTTTAGATAGGCCACTTCTTTAAATAATAGTTTATGTATAGTCTTCCAACTACCCGTACCCTGTTGTAACAGGATTACAACTCGTGGAACTGAAAAGCTAAATATAATAATAAAAAATTATTTTGTGGTGAATATTATGGGAATATTATGGGTGAATTCGTATCTGCAGAGACCTCTGAGCATATCACTCAAACACAGAAACAGGTAAGACTCCAAGACTCCTCCTGTTTAACCTCAAACGTTATATGCAACATATTAGAGAACATTAGTTTGAGATATAAATTAAAATCCACATATTTCCAAAATAAGGGATGATATTAAAAGGAAGTCTTACAATACTGATGCCCATATCATTAAAATCCAGTAGGCACTAAATTTTTATACTGCAGCACTCTCTATGTAACATGGTTAAAAAAAACCAAACAAAAACCCAAACCCTCAAGCCCCCAGATCACTGTCCAGGTACGTACCAGGAGCTGCAGCAATTACAAAGAACTGACCTCTTTCACTCCTACAGGAGTAGGAGTGTAAAATATAGCAGTACAACTCTTGGATAAATCATTGAAGCCCTACTACCAGCTTGGTTTTCACTCTCTTCTTTAAGAACAAACCAAAGAACCCACAAAAATGGTTCTAAGAGAAGACTTACTGCAATCACCCAGTAAAGAACCCCATATGAAGAACGAAACCCACAAAACAGTGCTTTCACTACAGCCAAAACTGTTTCTTCTGTGCTTAATTTAATAAAGCCTCAGATGACATAGTGAGTACTGCCTGTTTTCCAAGATCATATTTTACAATAGTTGCATATTTGTGATTTTCTCATTTATCAGTATAACCTGTTATGGTCTCACTCTACTAATTACTCTATGTCATATTCCAAATCTACATTCTAGTTTTCATTGCGGAAGTTACACTTTTTCTTTAAAAACTAAAAATGCAATTAAAAAAGTGAAAACAAAAATTTCTTAAAAAACCTAAATCGCTGCAGTTATTTCAGATTTTGTAGGGTTGTGTTGTGGTTTTTTTAAAAAAATTCCTTGCTTTTATTTTAATTCTGTGCAAATTAATTAAAACTTAATCTATTATGTCAGATGTATTCTGACACCAAACGAATGAGAAATTGTTTTATTGCTGGGGGAAGGGAGTGGAAGGTCTTTAAACACGTCACTGGCAAAATATTTGCAGACTATCAACCATCATCAGCTGTGTTTTGGCTCCAAGCTTTGAAAACAGCCTTTCAAATTACATTTTTTTATTTTAATCAAATAAATAGGGCCATATTTTCCCCTTTCAACTGATCTGTAAACTAACATGGGCTCTTTTCAATTAAAATAAAACCCAATAATTATGGATATCCAACCTGTTGCTCTTAACACTACCAGGTATACTTGTTCTTTTCAAGTAATTAAAAAAAAAAAATCTGCATACTGTGATCTTGAATAACTAAGCCTGGCAGGAGATAAAAAACAAAACAAAAAGAAACAGCATTACTGGCCTAATCCTATGGCATTAGGAACATTGCTCATCACTTTCATGTATTTGTCACCAAAGTGTCTCATCAGTGCATATTATTATGTGCTGAAATGCAACAAAACTTTTCACAAAAATAGTTTTAGGCATGTTCATACAAGAAGATGTACATATATTTCTTTTATATATACATATATATGAATGTGTGTATATATATAATATCAGTTTCAACCTGTACAAAGATATTCTGAATTTCGTCCTTAAAACACACCCATTGCAAACAATATGGATGGCTTTCCAGGAAAAAGTGCTTGATTGATTTTATCCTGTGTGAACATGCCTGTCCTCTGTGCATTTGCCCAAGTAGAGATCTTTATGATCAATCCTTTAAACGTACATATATCAGAGGTATTAAAAAAAAGAAGGGGGAGAAAGAAAAAGAAAATAGGAAAAAGTAATATTGCCCTGATGATGCAAAAAGAACAATGCATAACTGAAGCAGCTTGGATTTTAAAAGTTATCTTGCATTCTGCAGCAAACAATTTTTAAATAATTGTTGAAAATCTAGTTCCTCCATTTGTGTTATTGCTCCCTACTTGTAAATTTTCTCGTTACACATCAACGGTACAGAGAGGTTCACTACCAGGTTGAGCAGATTCCACTATTGTCATCTTGGGTTTCTTTCGTGTTTCCTCCTAAAAGAATATGAAACAAACACCACCACACAGTCATAAAGAAAAATATAATAATGAAACACTGTTTTAAAATTTTGAACAATTTTAGCCAAACTTCTGTCAATCATTGTGAAACACTAACTTGTTCTCATGTCAAAAATAAATTCACTGAAGTAGGTAAAATTAAGTTCTAAGCCAGCTCAAAAGAGGATGAAAAATATCTCTAAAAGCAGCCCCCTCCCCCAGTCAAGTTTTGAACATCTGTCTTTACATGAGATACTGCATAAAACAAGAAAAAATTCTGAATACTGGTTAAGTCTGACCCATGGCATTCTTCCTGTTTGTAAATACAAAAGAGCATATACTCACTCTTTCTTGTGCCAGTTTTTTCATTTCTTCCTGTAACTTGTTCAGGATGTGCAGATTTGGCTTGTTCTTTTTGGCATACTGCTGAAGTTCTATCACACTTTTATCAGAGGTTTCCTATCCAACAGAACCATAAACAACAACAGATGAGCTTTTTTGATGAAAAAAAAAAATTAAAATACATTGAGCAGAAGTTTAACCTGTGATAGTTGTACTTCCTTAAGTAATAACATATATTTCCATGAGTTAGTTAAATATTAAATAGGTTATATAATTTTGACCTGGAAGATGCAAGATTAATACAATTATTGCTGTCAATGAAAGCACTCATGTTATGTTCTGGCAATAGCAAGGTATGAAAATCAATTCAGAAGAACTGAGAACTGCTCATCAAATGCATACTGCCTTTACCATGATAGGGCATAACACTATTACGCCAATAGATATCATTAAAGCTTTGTTGTAACTACATTTAAAAACCCAGAAAAATACAAAAGCAAAAAATATAATCATAAGGTAGGTTACAATCAAACAAAATCATGTTCACCTGTTTAACCATCTTGCTACTCTCTCTACCATACATACGCAAAAGAGAGCCCCAATTTTTCACATGTGGATGCAGTAGCTGTAGGATTTTCTGAGAAGCTAATTGTTTCCCCACTCTCTTATTTTTGCCTGTAAAAATAATAATGAAAATGTGTCAATACTGGCACATTACAAAATTAGATTAACACCAATATGTACTTATGTTGTTCAAAACTGAGATACCAAAGAGTAGAATAAGCACGTAACAAGCTAGATAACTGAACAAGCATCTACAAAACGGACGAGAAGAGGAAAAAAGGAAGATATTATCGGAGGTCACATTAAGTACTATACTTACACCAGCCTCGCACCGTGTGCTTGCCACAAGTCATGACATATTCACTCTTCTGATTTTTACCAGGAATCACTTCAAACTTTATGGATGTATCACCCATTCCATGGTTTCTTAAGTACAAACAAAATCAGTATCATATACTAAGTAAAATTACAAACAACTGAAGTGGTTGCAGTTATCTTTAACAAGTCATTGCAATGGAAATAGATACATTAATAATAAATTTTAAGACATTAATTAATAAAGTATTCTTTTTTAGATCAGTAACTTGACTTGAATGGAAAGGCAAGCCTGTATAAAAGAAAACCAAATATATTTATGTGTCCCACAACTAAATCCTAATCTCAGAAGACAGGAGGCATAAACAGCAAATAAGAATTAAAGGAAGATACAGCATTAACCAGTTCACTCCACGTCATGGCTCTTACAGCTACAGGGACTGCAGGAAGCTTGGCCAGCCCACAAATGTCCAAGTTACTGACAAACACTGTAGGTACCAGCAACCAAACAAACAACATGCCCTGACCCAAATATCTGTACACAACAGAATTCGCTCCTTATTCTGCAGCCTTACCTTTTAAGGCACTCATGGAGAATCTGATATGGAGACAAGAGTCCAGCTTTACTGGTGAGTTCATATACCCGTGAGTCCTCAATACTGATATGGTTAAAATACTACGAAGGAATTGAGAAGGGTTATTGTGCTTTTGCACAAGATCTTAATACTGTTAACCCTCATTTCTCCTTTGCAACATTAAACAAATTCTGTTACTCTGTCCTTAATACTTTAAAATGTATTTTTAAATCCATAATGGAGGTATTTACCAATATCACTAAAACTGCCACACCTAATCATATTTGCAGACAGAAATTTAAATAATTCTTTTAACATTAATTTTACATTATACAAGATGGACATAAAAATTACAATCTTATAAATTCTTTATCATCCTTTCTCCCTCAAGACAAGGTTATTTTATTGGTTTTAACTCATTATGAAGTGCTACTTACCAAAATGCTGTGGTTTAATAAAAGAAAACATAACAGCTATTGGAACATTCTGTATTTTATTTTAAAACAATGGAAAAAATGGTCTGCATTTTCCTAATGACCATTTCAATAGTGCAGGGCATGTAATACAGTTTTAAGTTAAAGCAAGTGTACAAACAACTAATTCATTCTGTATATTACACTTATCAAAATGAAAACGTTCCTTTCAGGCTAATCACCGATTTTTCCTTTACTCCTTACTGATGGTCTGTTACACGCTGAATTGAAAGTGAACATATCACTACTGAACTAGCTATTTAATATTTCCAATACTTGAAAATATAGCACACACTCTCCACTTAAAGAAACTTTTCCTTTGATTTTTCTCAAATGTCACTGCTTAAAGTCTGAAATTTTAGCTGTCTGATCTGGCAATAAGTAGCTTTCATAGGCAAGTAAAAACGCTTTGGAAGCCTGGGCACTTTTAGTTCTTACTTGGTCTTCTAAGACGAGCACACAAAAGCAGACAGCATCTAGCTCTCAACTTTTCACGGCATCAGCTGGAGGATTCTGGAAGCCACGATAGTACAGGCAGCATAGTAACTTGGAACATTTCAGGTCTTCACTATGTGACCTGGTATTTCAACACGAGACTAGTTCTCTGCATCACAGTAAATTTTCAGATCAGCTCCAACAGAAAAAAGTGTTTTCATTGCCATAGATTTTGCTATAAATGAAGAATTTCACATTTCCATCTGACTGAGAAAACGACGTTATGAATGTTCATCAATATTTCTGACAGCGAAGGCGTAACGTTTTTAAAAACAGACTCCAATAATGACAGCCAGAAAGCAAGAGTTCAGTACCTCAAGTTCTTCACTGTCTTTGGGCTTCTCCTCAGAGGTCTGTTTAACAAAGTCAGGAATAAGGATTTCCAGTGTAGCTCGCGCTGCAGAAAATGATTAAACATCTTGATTACATTTATTTTAAACAATGACTGTAAAGAAAAAGAGCAGAATGAAGCACTCTTTAAGCAAGCCTCACATCTGCCCTCAAAATATCCACTCATATTAGAAAACAACTTCACAGATAAGATGGGCATCTTCTTTTTCTAAGAAGTATATTCACTTGCACTTTTTAATGGAAAAAAAAATTCTACTTGAACAAGCTGATAATGAAAGTCACACAACTAATTAAGAAGAAACTGCTTTTTGCAAATACCTATGAAAGGAAAAAAAGTTATAATCAAGTCTCTTTTTAGAAGTGATGTAAAGCCCTTAGGACCTAAAATTAGAGTCGTTATCACCCCTTAGTTGTTACAGCTGAACCCTAGTACTGTATCAACAGGGCACTCGGAACCCTAGTATTGTACAAAAAGCGCATCCAGAATTTGCCTAAATTTTCATAGCAAAATACCTTTTTTTCATGCACAAACAATTCTGGGCTGGCTTTTGGCAATTTAGCTAAACTGAGATAGTTCACAAGTGCAGAAAGTACCACAGTTACATTATACATCTTTACATTTTGAGAAGTTACTTTTTCTTGATCCTTGTGCTAAAGACATTTAAATCTGGAGATCATTAAGAAGTTCTGTCAGACACATTCTCATCTAGATCTTAATTATTTACAAATTTGTAACACACTTACACAATTAGAACTAATTAATGAAGACAAGTACTTGAAAATCCATAATCACATAGTTCAGTGCAATTGTTTTATTACCAGAAAGAGAACCAGAACAACCAAAAGCTTGAGGGATTAGTGTTTTTTTTTAAAGAAGGGCAAAGATTTTCATTTTGCTAAAATCCATACACCAGGTGTTTATATAGCAGGTGATAAAATCCCCAACATGTTCCTGTTGGTTCGATCATCAGACACAGACTCTTTTAGAGCTACTCAGTATACATCAATAGTTTACACTTAAGTTAGCATCTGAAGTTTCTTCATGGTTTTCTATCCCAGTACATTGTTGAACCTAGGGCTGTCAGAAAAGTCTCTACAACAGTATTTATCACTTTTACCAAAAAGACACAAGTGTACCTTCTTTGACTACTAACAAAATGATTCCTACTTACTATGGCAAATATGTCATCTTCTAAGCAGAAATGAAAACAGATAAACAATTCAGCAGTTCGTATTAAGAAAGAAAAAATGTTACCAGCTTTATTCTTGGCAAGTTTTTTGCTGCTGGCAGTTCCTGCCCCATAAGTTACTCCATCAATAATCACAGAGGCTCCAAAAGGTTCACTTGGGTTCTCTGGAAAAGGAGAAGGAAAGTAAAAAAAAAAAAAAAAAAAAAAAAGCTTTTCAGAACTCTCAATGTAAAATACTCATCATGAACATGAAATACCACTACTATCAAGATTTGTTTTCTTCTTCATTTCAACTTCAATAGGGAATTGTTTAGTCTTAGAAAGACCAAAGAATTGTTTACTCCAGTAAGAAAAACTAACAGAGTTTTCCATTAACAGAGTCTTACCACCATGTACCTCATTCTTCCAAATGAGTAACTTTTACATTTTAAGAGATCATTTGTAATCTGCCAGAATTCAAACGTAAACTCCAAAGTTTTTGCATCACTAACATAGTGTAAATACAAGAGCTACACATTCTGATATTGAAAAGTCAGTTACATTATGTAATGCATATAGATGAATAACATAATTCTGAATAATTATAGCTTCCACGTTGAATTAAGATGCCTGACTTACAAATTCCTTGAATGCTGACTGCAGGACTTAAATTCTGTCAAGCCTGCCATTGATAAAGGTGTAATTTCTTCCTTCTCTATAAGGTACCCCCAAAAAAACCCAGCAAAAGCAAAAATGCAAGGAAGGTATGCTATATCACTTTGTAAAGCAATCTCAGAATCCAGCTAGATAAGCTAATCTGGCTGGAATTTACAGGAAAAAAATTTCAAGACTAATTTGATTCCAGTTATATTCGCCACATATGCAACATTTTTAGATTCATGATTAAGCTTCAAGTGCATTCCCCCATAATATTTATCTAAAAAAAAAAATTCTTTCCAGGTTTTTGTTTTTCTGAGTGCTAGCATTGCTTACACAGTCTCAGTACAGCCTAAGTCAGGAACTACCAAACTACCTCTCACACCACTGGCAGAATAAAATTAAAAGCTGTTTAAAACCACAAACAGATACACACCCAGCATTTCACATAAATCCCACACTAGTCATGGAACAACATAGTCTCAGAAACTCTTTAAATTACTTTTAGTCCAGTAGAATGACACTTCTATTTCTATTCTTGTAATGCTATGAGCAAAAGTATTCAACATTTATATCAAATCAATTCCTACCAACTGCATATGAACTTTTTGCAGTCTGCACCTAACTAGTAATTTCTCCACTAATATTGATTGTAATTTATCAATGACCTCAGAGAATAGCCACACAAGACAAACAGTCTACATAGCCACTTCTGGTTTCCATTTAAATTTTCAACATCAATTTATACATACACAAGTCTCTTATGATGACCAGATGTCAGTATGAACCTCCATGACATAACAATCATAACATGCAATAACTTAAAACAGTTAAAGGATTTTAAAACTCTACATATCTAAAATAAACTACCATATTTTTTGTTGATTGGAAGAAAACTAGAACAGAACAAAACCACAAAAGTATCTCATGTTATTGCAGCTTTAGAGAGGGTACATATGTGTCTGCAGAAACCTTTCGAATTCTTAACAGCTTCATCCTTAAAGGCCTACGCATTTCTCTTTAGAAACTATTTGGGTTTAGTATTTGATTTTTTTTTTTTTCAGGATTCCGATGATTCACTAAAACAATGTGTGCCTTACAATTGGAGTTTCTGGACATCAGTGACAAGAAAGTTAAGCACATATTAATTGTGCACAGTTAGCAAAACTGTAATTGCCTGTATTTCACTGATGAGTCCTTTTAGGTGCAAACAAGTTACTCAAATCCATTTTCACTTACACATAGTTTTCCAAGGGAAACCCCATAGTTATTTTAAATATAGCATCGCTCTTATCCTCAAAAGCCATGTTTAAGATACAGAAAACATTTCCTAGCTAGAATTTGACTCACAACAGACTTTCAAGACATTCCCTAGGAAAAGAGTCCATCGTTTGATTATTTTTTTTTTCCAGATACCGAAGCATGAGATAAACCCTCCAAAACAGCACGTGGGCAATTAAAAAACTTAACAGACTTACCACATTCAAAGAAATTGTAAACAGGGCGAACCTTTAGGACTCGCTGCATATATTCATGCAGTATGCAAACTTCCGATTTCCCATTGGGATTAATGACAAATTCTACAAAAAAAGATGGGGGGGGACAGGAAGACAGCTAAGTAGTTCCAGTTTTTAAAAAACAATTTCTACTACAAATAAATAAATAAACAAACTACAAGCTCCAAGGGATAAATGCCCGCTCAAATTAAATGCAATGCTATTGAATCAGACATGGATAATTATGACCTCAAAGTCCACTTTCTCTGAGAAAGTACTGAGAAATAAGTCAGAGAAATTTCTATCAACAACTGGAAGTACACTAATTATGAACTAAGTCAAACACTCTATGTTCAATGTTTGTGGTCCCATGGCCTCTGGGACTAGCACTGGTATAGAACTGAGAAGGCAGTAGCACTGAGTGACTAAGCAGGAGGGTTTTTTCAGTAACGACCAACAGTAACGAGCAGCTGAAGGTAGTAACCAGTTACCAGGAGTGCAATCTTAAATAAAAATCCTTTCATTTAGGAATTATTCTTTTTAATAGGAAGTATATTTTGACAGTATTTTTCCTTTACTATGTAAAATAATGGATCCAAGAATACAGAATTCTAGAACAGGAAGAAAGTGGACTTATTACAGGATTTTTTTCATTTTTGTCGAGTCAAGCTTAGAACTGTAATTTGTCTTTGATATAGAATATTTGAACTACAGGTAGACAAACTAACCTTTCTTTGTAGGTGCATCTTGCACAGACAAGGTAATGAGTTTCTGATTAGCAGGCAGAATAGGCCGCTCGGATTCTGCCTGCTTCCGCTTCATTTCACGATTGAATTGCCGTCTCTCAGCCCAGGTTCTGAATTTTTTTACGGTAACTTGTTCAAAGTCAAAACGCTTTTCAAGATAGTGTCTAAAATCTTCCAGATCTAAGAAACACAAGCCAGTTACTCTCTCCACTTTACCACTAAGCAAGTATTAAGTTCATTAATTCCACTGTTTTAAACATGTTATAATTATTTTTTTAGACTAGGAGCAAAAGAAAGATACTCAAAATTAAGATGCTATTTCATACTAACAGAATTAATTACAAGTTTCATGTTACTGGGTCAAATGCAAAATATTTGGGCAAACTGGAAAACAAAACAAAGAGCATTTTATTCTGTCACTTGTAGATTTTACGAAGCCCTAAGCAGCATAATACCCAACACAATTTGTAACAAAATACTAGTAATTGTTCTACTTCATCACCTATTCACCTTCTAATTACCTGAAGCAAGGTATACAGTGAGTAACAGTAGTTACGCTATTAGCCTCAGTTTCCTGAAGCCAAAGCTGACTATTGCTGTCTATTTATTAAACAGTGTACCATGAAACACTATATAATGATGCTCCATGAACTCCATGAATATCTGCTGGCCTCTAAACAAAATTTAACACATTAATTTTCACATACAGAGTACTAAAAGACCGCCCTCTTTGAAGTACAGCTGCTTCTCCTTTATAGGATATTTCTGCAGATATAATCAGCAAAAATAAAGAGTAACATCCCAAGATGTAAACAAAGAAAAGCAAGCTGCTGGTATTGTTTCCTTCCACAAGGAATCCCAAATGCAAGTCATGCTTACACTTGATCACTCAGTATCTTTTTCAGTAATACAGAACAGATCCTATTCGAAGAGAGAGATAGACAGGTGAACACGTAGCAAATAAGTGCTTACTGGTTTTAGTTTTGCTGCAAATACTGATGATTTCAGGGTTTTTTAGAATCTTTTGATATGGTTTTTGGACTAAACAGGACATGTGTAATGACAAGGACAAGTTTTATGTTTGAACACTACAAAGATAAGTGGTAGCCTACGATCCATATCAAATTCTGAGCAGCAGTAATTTACATGGATGGTACTCTCAGGTATGTAGTTGTGGCAAGTGGCACATGAGCTTTCTCTCCAAGTTCCTCTGTAAATCTGGCAGTGATTTTGGCACGACTTCTTTAAGCAGCATTTTGTGTAAAAGCTATCAGACTTGCATAAATAAAATAATGAAGCATCACACCCCTTTGCATGAATGCAATTATATATGTATGACTTATTCTGCTAGACTTGTGCAAATAAGCAAATTTAGTTTAACCACATCACTTAAGATTAAGAGATCATACTGAAAATAGATATAATTCAGCCAATATAGAGACTGCATAGAAAAGCTTATTTAAAGAAGTCACACAAACACACTTGACAACAGCAATTCACATGTACACACTGACTTAATTGATTCTTAAACTGACATAAAGTCTACAGGACTAAACTTTCAAAATTTTCACATTTTTGCCTGCAAAACCTTTGCACGTGGACTCTCAAGCCTTCAGCAAAAATCTCCACTGTGTGTTTCTCTTACTGTTAAAATAAAAATTGATTTCTAATACTGGCTCTATTTCTCCAGATCTCTGCATATGAAAAACTGTGCAGAAAGGCAACTGACAACTTGACCTCAAAGAAGATACTATTCAGTTGCCAAGTCTGGAATAAAGCGTATGTATCCCAAATGCCATTCCCCAACTCCAGCCACGAAAAGACTCTCACTTTCCATACATACCTACAGATTCATCTTTACATACTTCAACTTTGGCCTTAACTTGTCCTAAGGCTCCTTGTGCTGCATCGCCCCCTGAGGGGTCTTTGTCATCTAAAGGCCCAGAATCAGCAGCAGTAGAATCTGGTTCTTCTGTTTGGCAGTCCAGTTCTGAAGATTTATCTAGGTGCTTTACAGGTGATACTTCCCCATTTGGGGTTATGTCATTGTTTTGTTCCCTTTCCTCATTTTCCTTCATTTTTTTGTAATGCAAGCAGGGAATGCTACTAAGGGGAGGATCATGTTTCTGCAAATATAAAATAATACAGATGGTTTCAGTACCTCAGGGTCACCAAAAGCAAAAGCAAAACTTAAAACCAAAAGATGTAATCAAGATGAAAGTTACTTCTACTTAGTTTAGGCTCAAGCTTCTCCTTCGTCAGTAATCTCATTCTACTCAAGACCTGAGTACATCTACTCCTATGGTATCTTGGCTCTATGTAACACTGATACTAACCTTCAAAGTGCGTTTGCTGTTTTAGATACAAACTATATTCTGTTCAATTACATGCAAATACTACATGTTTTCATAAAATCCATTCAGCTCTCTTGGGGTATATGCCCCTGACATTAAATCCAATTTCTGCAGATTCCTTGGGTTCATGAACGTTACATGCTTACCTCTATAAAGGTGGACCATAAGCCACAGCTTATGCTAGTTTATAGCTACAAATAAATGATCTAAATATATTTCATGGTGGAATAAAAACAACAATCTGCAGCCATACGCTAGAACAACGAACGCACCAAACAAGACCATCTCATTCACTTTAACTGCCCAAACTCATTGCAAAAACAGAAAAACAGAATACCGTAAGAAAAATCATATCATGTTTTCAGAAACTTAAGAGTTTATTTTTCAAGTACCTTAATCCTAACACTGGAAATAAGCCAGTTAAAGTTGAAAAATATTCAACTGTTTGCAGGAACGTATTTAATGCTTAAATCTCAGTAAGTATTTAAGTAGTTGACAGCTCTCACCCTTATGCTTCCTGTTCCCAAGAAATAAGGCCTAGACCAAGTAACAACTCTAGATTCTCTGTGCAGATATACAGGAAGGCCCGAGTTATGGAATGTCATGATCCATCCATCTGGCAAAGGTTCTGTAGGAGGGCGGCCACGACCTTTAAAGCAAAGAATGGCTTTAAACTTGGGTAGACTGCTTAGAATAGAAAAAGAATCAAGGTTTTTATTTTCATTGCTTTTTCTGTCCAAATGATAAAAAGACACCAAAACAAGACTAAAAAAAAGTTTCGCAGAAAGATTTTGTTTGGCTTTAATAAAAAGGCATATGCTTTTAATCCACATTAAATCCTGCAAAATTACAGATTCCATTATGTTTTCAACTGAAAAGTAATAGTAGCACTAATTTTTACACAGACTGATTTGTACATTTCACCAGTGAATTTCCTCTTCTCTTCAGTCTTCTTTATTTTTATCACAAGCACTGCTATATTTAATGGAAAAGTCATACTTGCTTTTGAAAAAACTGAGTTTCCCATGAAAAATTTTTGCACTCGACACTTGGGGATAAATTTGCATTGAGATACCACTAGATCCACAGACCCACACAGTCAGCAATGAGTTATGCTGTAAGCTAAGGCCTTCCTATTATATTTTTCACCATAAGCACAATACAAACCAGGATCAAGTCTATAAGCCTTTATATTTAAATATATTAGCCATCAAGAATACTTTTTCCAGAAAACAAGACTGAAACTAGAGTACAATAAGCCAATATGAGGAATTACATAGCAAAAGAAACAACATTGCAGTAAAACGCTTATGCTCACACTCAAGTTAATACTATGTGACCTCACTCCTTTCTATTCCAGAAATCAGAGAACAGTCTCAGTCCTCTCTACATCAGAAATCAGAGACCAGACACATCTTAGCTGTGAGCTTCCTGGCAGTCCTGTGTTTGCACAAAACTTTGGAGGGAAAAACTGTTTAGTTTCTTATTTCAGAATACAGTGAAGCTGTAAAATACTCCTCTAGAGCAGGTTCAAATTTTAATTCTAATTCAGATTGGTTTAAGTTACATTAGTCTGGATTGGTTCATATTCTCAGCTCTTCTTTATTAGTAGTTTGTAACATTTACATGATAAAACTGCATAAATGTAAGCCACTGACTTTCCTAAAGATTTTTTTTTAACCTAGTAATGCATGCATAAAGACTCGACACAGACCAATTTCAACAAAAGAAGTTATTTAACTGAAGTAGGAAGAAGTCCACAATGACCACAAAGTTTTCAGCCGTTTCACAGTATTGGAGACAAAAAAAAACCAGATCATACTTGTTCACCTCCCAACCACTGAGGTAACATTCTTCATAATTTTTCACAAATCCACACTCTAAAATATGTTCTCATTACATACAACAGATGAAGATCAAAAGCACTCCCAAAAATCAACTTCATTGCTCAGGAATGTCAAAAATCATATCCTACAATAAGAAGTCTTAAAACATATTAACTATTTCACAAGAATTGCTATCCTAAGCTTTGCTTGCCGATACACTTCTGTTCTACAGGCATAAGCCACACAAAAAGTATATATAGATATTTAATGAACATTAACTTACTTTTAAGTACAGTTTTAATTTTGGTCATCATTGGCTGCACACTTGTTTCTCCATCAGACTGGTGATCACTTTCACCACCATATTTCTCATTTTCTAGTCTCCTTGTTTTGGGTGCTCGAAGGCCCTCTTCCAGCAAAGCATCCACATCATTATCAAAGTCATCCTGAAAGAGACTTCATGAGACACTATCCTTCTGGGTCTACTAACTTCCCTTTCCCCTTGCAAAGAAAAAGTATGTATTTTCGCTATGAACTTCCATACAGAGAGAAACTAGAAATTTCCAACGATTCCAGTAAAAAGACTGAAAAATAAGAAAATAAGTTTTTGTGAGAACTGGCATTTTCCATGATAAAATGAGCTGAGCCTTTTAAATGTTATTTTTAACCAAGACTACAGAAGCTGCCATACAACTCAGAATTTTGACAAAGATAATTTACAAAACTTTTCAGCCAAAGTTCTGTCTCTGAAAATTCTGCATTTTTGACTCAAGTACTGCACATTTGTAGAAGAGACTGTTTCAGTGAACATCTTTGCATATTTTTTTCTAGCCACCTGGAAACCTCCTACCCACCTAAACCCTGTGGATTTACTTACCTCATATGAGTAATTCAAGGTTTCTTCATCCACTTTATCTCTTTGAACGATTGCTTTAGATGTAAACCCTCCTCCTTCTTCATCTATTTCCATCAAATTGTCGGTAAAATCTTCTAGCTCATCCAGAACTGCATATTCCACTCTCTTTTCCTGATCAACATCATTTTCATCATCCTTCTTGTCATCAGTTTCACCCCCTAATCCTACAGCTTTACCATTACTACCACCAAAAGGACAAACATGCAAATCCCCATTGACATTATTAATACCAAAATCTGTATCTGCTTTATAATCCTGCTCAACTCCAGTGTACAGAACTTTCCTATCTTTGCTTTTGCAGCTTTCTGTAAAGCTAACGCTAATCTTTACATCTTTAAGTAACTTAAGATCTGGGGTGAACTTTCGAACTGAAGGTGCATGACGAGCAGTTCTTGGGCTTTGGTCACTATTGTTAGGGTCTATTATAAGACGACTTTTGTAGCAGGCAGATCCCTTTGTAAGAAGCTGTGTTCTGCAGATACTGTGCGTGTCCCCAGCAGGGGTATCTGACTGTCCATCACCACCAGAGCCAACGTCCATTACCTCTGCGTCACTGGACGTTTGCAGGGGAGGTGGTGGAGGCTGTTCATTAGGCGGCAGAGGTGGGGGACAAGTATGATTCTCCACATTCATTTCTCTTGCAGGTTCTTTAGGGAGGGGTGGTACATTTTCATATTTCTCCATTTTTAAAACTACTGTTTTTTAAAAAAACAATGCTTTAATAAATGTTTATATCTCTATTCCTAACATGCGTAAGTCCACCAAGATTGGTTTATCATGTTCTATTCAATATGCAACACTGATGATTCAGTTAAGCTGACTACATTGTTCTTTTCATTAATGTAGACAGCTTTCAGAATCACTGTCTCAATTATTGGAAATCACAATGCATTCAGCTTAAATAGCTGAAGACTAAGACTGCATCTTCATTGGACAAGTAGGTCCCCCTTTCTTCCTTCAACCTACAAGAAGAAGAAAAAAATACCTTTGTCACAGAAAATAAATGAAAATAGTATCCCAGGCAAAAAGAAAAAAAGTCACTCCTTCCAGCAAAAATTTCAAGAAGAAGAAAGAGTGACATTTTTATTCTGAAAAAGGCAGGTTATTTTGATACCTTTGAATGAGGCTGAAAGAGATTGTTTTTACTGCTTGACCTGTACACCAGCACAAGAATTTGCTAACACATAGTTGCCCATATAATTTGTTGACCATCTCTGCTTGGTTAGCAGGCAGGGCATTAAGTAGAGACTGGACTAAAAACTGTGCACTCTGGGGAGATTCTCCCATTCTTTAAAACAACCTGGTATTCAAGCCATACTTACCCACACAGCAGAAAGGATAATTAGCTTACAGTTTAAGACAATCTGCAAAACCAACAAGATTTTAACAACTATGGCCTTATAAGACACAAGGCTTTTTGAAAGTTTAAGTTATTAGATACTTTTGAAATCTCACTGGAAGTTTCAACAGGAAATCTCATAATTTACTAAAAACTCCACAAAATTACTCTCTTGATAACCAGATATTAGACATTTGATCTTATATTCCATACTATTATAGGACTATATATTTGTTACATCTGAGGAATTCAGGTCCAGATACATAGCGTTAAAGCTCAAATTAATTCTGGAAGGCATTTAGAAGACAATGTTTTAGGTAATTTAACCTGGCAAAAATACTCAATTGCTCTAGGAAGTTTTACAGGGGGTGAGAGTTGTGTGTTTTGGGTTTGTTTATCTTTTACATTAAGTGGGTTCTTTCTACCATATCTATGATGGCTTCTTCAATTATACTTTTGTCATCTGTGCAGGACTATAAGCACCTGGGGAACAGAAGCATAATTTCTTACCTGCTATTTTGGTTTCTCCAAGTCCCTCCATGCCACCCCAAACTGGGCTTAAATCGTCCTACCAGCTAGAAATAAAGCAGTGTTACTCTGCCCAAGACAGTCAGCTGGCTGAATCTGCTCTGTTCAAACTATTTGCAGGTAGTAGAGAAAGTCTACCCAAGTATTCTAGAAAGATAAGCTCAGAGTCCTCAGTGCCGCTGTGTATTTCAAAGCAACAGGGCAGAATGTCTGGGTTGTCATGAGGGACTCAGAGAAGCCAAATATAATACACCTGCCCAGACAGAAAAAACCAAAAGCAATACCCAAACACCAGCTAGGGCATGGCAGGAAGCTGACAACTGGGAGTTATAATGGGATCAATTAAAATTCAATAGCATACAGAAGCTACCTACCTGGAAGCTGGAAGACAGTAAAATAGACAATAAAGCAAACTCCTATTTTAGGGATTTAGCAATAAAGAAAGTTTTGCTAGGGCAGCAGAATAGTTCATATTTTGTGCGGGTTTTGGAGGGTTTCTGTTTTGTGTGGGTTTTTTTTTTTTTTTAAATGTACTCAGAACTGTGACACATTCAACACACTGAGCTTGACATGCATTGTAAAATTAGTGAGGAAAAAGACTCCATTTTGATAAAATCTCTAAAATAATCCCATCTTCTCCGATACAAACATACTACTTTCCAGAATGAAAAACAGTTCATTCACCTGTAACACAAGAACTTCTATATATTTAAATCCATTCCATCCTACAAGATGGCCATACAAACACCTGAGCAGTGATCAATTCCTTCTTTTTTCAACAGGTTCTGAAACACTTAATGTTATACAGAACACCTCTAGAAATACATTTGCCTAATAATCTTCCCCATCTTCAGATTAAAAAAAGAAAAAAAAAGTGAATGACAAATTATTAAATTCTCCACAATAAATCATTAATGTCTGCATTGTTAATTCTGAACAAAAGAATCAAAAGTCACAGTACAAGTGCAGTAACTCCTGGAAACTAATGCCTAAGCATTCTAATTTTACACAGAAATGAAATACTGAATGGGTATTCTAGAATTTGAAGGAGCGCTACCTTCCCATATGATCAAGGATCTACCTGGTCCAACTAGAAAGACTATTTTTGACAAGTCATAAGACATGATTGTGAATGCAGTTTCCACATCTCTGATACACGTTCTGCTCCTACGCTAAAGAATGTTTTAATATCACCAATGTCAAAACACAAGAAATTAATCTTTACCTGCCTAACTTTGGTAGTTTGCTGATACTACACCTCCGCTCTTTGCAGAAAAGATGCCTTGTTATTCTATTCAAGCACTATTAACAATGAAACTCTTGTTGGCCTTGAAATAATGAATAGCATACCAAATCACTGCCAGAGATTGTCCACTACTCAGTACACATACTGTGGCCAGAAAAAGTACTGGACCAAGATGAGATTAACTAGCTTTTGCATTTCTAGCCATAAACCTGCCACATCCCTAGGGTAAGATAACAGAGTCTGGCAGCTCTACAGTTACAGTGGGCTACAATACCTTCCTATAAGCTACAAAAAGCCAGGGAGAAGCAGAGTAACACAGGTCCAATTCCCATCTACTTTCTTGCCAACTGATGTTACGATATGCCCTTTATATCAGGTGCTTGGGGAAAAACAAACAAATAAAACCCACAACAAAACCCATAAGGATTTTCCCTTACATATCAGCTATTTTAAAAGAAAGACAGAAGGGATGAAACCTAAAAGGACGAGTTAGATGAGCCTGCAGGTTAAAAACAGCCAAACAGACTTTACATCAGTTATGCAATATTAAAGTACAACTTAAGTTAGTCTGCCTATTGTTGTCCTTAACAATTAGCCTGCCCTGAAAGAACAGATTTTATTCTCCAAGGCTCCACTAAGTTCCACCAACAGTTTCCACAAGGACTCCTTAAAAAGACATGGAACACCACTCACAGCTGCATCAGCCAGTACAAAACACTGAAGGAACTCTGGATGAACTGCTGAAAATACGAATGCACAGTTCATGTTCTGCAGGTCACCAATACATGGAAATGTCACATTTTTAATTCCTTGCTCTTATTTCAATAGATCATTTGAAAAAGTTTCATGTCACAAAGTAAACTCATAGAAACAGACACATGATGGACATCTAAGTGTAATGTAACAAACTGCACAGGTCCCAACAAAAGTAGTATCTTGGCTTGGTTGTCTTATAGATGTTTGTTTGTTTTTTTTTTTCTTTCTGCCTTCAAAGAACAACTACTTCTTTGTTTAATAACTGCCTATTCCTGCAATCAGAACCGGGGCGGGGGGAGTACACAGAGAAAAGAATATCTCTTTTCAAGACAGAAAAAACCCCAGAATCTTAAGATTTATAATCAGCACTGCCCAAACTCAAAGAGGAACTCCCTTCATTGTATACATAGCATGTCAGCAGTCTTACAAATGAGTTCAATAAAGAACGTATTTTTTTCATTAATATCTGTAACTGCAATCAGGAACCAGGAACAGCATACCACAGATTCTCTCTTCAAAAAATCACTTTTAAAAAGAAAATGGTTTCCTTTTCAGAAACTGCTTACTCCACATTCAGTGGACCCCCAAATGGAAGAGTGGCTCAGACCAAACTCTCCTTATTTGCTATTCAAACACAAAGCCCTCCTCCTCATCCTTCAGCTCCAAACAGCAACTCTGCACAGCAGAGTTTGTAAGGCATTGATCATGCTCAGCTTTAACTCTTGTCAAAGTAATTCCTTGCCCACAATCATCTATCTTCTTTTTATTATACCTATAGTATCTTTTTGATATGCACAGTCCTAAAAGTAACTTAATCCTATTTATTATCAACTGCTAAAAAAAAAAAAAAAAACCAACCCAAAAAAAACCAAGGAGGCTGAATTTATTTTCTTCAAACCAGAACAGGAAGTCTCAAAAGACAAATATTCTGTAAGTTAACTACTACATACAGGAACTAATTTCTCTCCCCATTATCAGCTTTAGAATAGAAAGATTCTGAAGGAAACCACCACTTTGTGGAAGTCATGAAGGCAGTTTAAGACAATGCAGTCAGGGCCCAACCATAACATTATCCCTGACAAATACAGCCAAGGCTAAACAACTTCTCTAGTTCATAAGACTTCATCCAATTTCAGAACGAACAAAGTACATAATTTTGGAAAGGCACCCTCCAAAATGGCAAAGTAATTGCTGCTTTTATAGCTTGACCAGTTTTCTAGCAGAGTTTAGATGGTTTCAACTAATTGTGTAAAACAAGAAACCATTTTTTAAAAAAAATCTGCAAATCAGAGCCTAGGAAGGAGAAAAAGTATTCTTCCTTTTGCATCAAATAGCTTCTTACTTGTAAAGAAAAACAACAGACATAAGGAACCAAATGCCCCTCTCAGTCTCTAAAAAAGCAAAATAATAATCAAAAGGAGTTGCCCAAAAGAACTAATGGCCTAACTCCTCATCCAGAACTAAAAAGAGGAACCCTTAAGTTTAATTACCTAAACAGAAGGGAGAAGAGGTACACTCTCAAAAGAAAAATTAAAGACCTAATTCCAACATCTCTAACTAACAATGTAAAGGAGTAAAGAAATTGAATGGGTTCACCCAGCAAGCCCTCAATCCCAGTATATGAGGGAGTAATGCCTGGATGTTAATGGGAGCCCCTCTCAGCAGGCAAACAGACTTTACAGATAAACCTGAAGCCTAAGGAAAAGAGCTGTAAAAGAGAGAACTCTCTTTTTCCAGCCAAAAACACGAAGAAAGTTAGGAGAATAAACCTTTCAGAGACTGAACAAAATAATTTAGAGGAAGATGTAACTGTAC